TGTAACAACAAATATCAAAACACCGACATATAAATAACACTTTATGGATAATTATGAAAACTATTAAAACAGGCTCGATACCAATGAAGATTATGATGAATACTTTAAAAATAAAAATAATTAGGATCGAAACACTTACTCGTAAATAGTTTCACTAGATCAAGACAAGTAATATTAAATCACTATCTTTATTTCCACAATCCAAATGCCAACATAATCCTTCTTGCTTTAGTATTACGCTTGCAAAAAGTCTTTTTATTATGTCCGTTTTCTCTTCTTTTTTTGTTTCTTATCTTTCTCTCTTATCCATATCTTATTTGTCTCTCCTTTTCCAGAGATGCATATGTGTGTGTGTGTGTGTGTGTGTGTGTGTGTGTGTGTGTGTGTGTGTGTGTGTGTGTGTGTATAGGAGATGAAAGGAAATAACGTTTCCCTATAACTGTTTTGACGAGTTATTATTTTCTTATCCGGTCGACTCGACCAAATTTTTTTATTTTTTTTACCGACCATAAACACTTCGCCATCGCTTTAGCTAAAAAAGGATGAGCTAAAGACATAAAATGGGCATATTTAGTAAGTCTATCCACAGCTACAAAAATCATCGACTTGCCTTGAGAAGTTGATAACCCCTCAATGAAATCCATGGTAATGTCGGTGAATATGGCATGATGTAATGGTAAGGGTTGTAGTAGACTTGTAGCTACCACATTCTCATACTTGCATGCTCAACAAACTTTACAATTGCGTACATATTCATGCACATCCTCACGTAGCCCCTTCTAATAAGGTCATTACTTTTTTCGTAGTCTCATGAATTCCAGAATGGCCAAACACAACTAAATCATGGAAGAATAAGATCAGTTCCTTATGTAGTTCATCCACATTTCCCACCACCAATCTACCTTTCCTTTATAACTCGCTGGTCTTGCCATACATATTTAGGATGTATTCCTTTAAGATTTTGTAATTATGTTAAGATAATGGATAGCCTCGGGTTTGAACTCCAAGAATAACAAATTTTATTCATCACATCGGTGAAAATAGAAGAAATAAAAATGTTAGCCAATTGCATTCATGAAAAGGCATCAACAACCACATTTTATCCGCCCTTTTTATACATAATTTCATAATCTTAGCCCATCAATTAGGCTAACAAATTAAACTAACTAGAGATGCGTAACTCGTTTCTCTAGAAAATGTTTTAAACTTTGATGATCCGTTCTAATTATGAAGTGCATCCGTCTCAAGTACCGATGCCACTTCTTGCGATAAAAAGGATGGCCATTAACTCCTTCTCATAGATGGACAATGTTTGATGCTTAGGAGTCAATAAATTGCTAATGTAAAGCAATGAGATGACCTTGTTATATTAACATTGCTCCAATTCCTCCTCAGGATGCATTTGTTTCGATCATAAAATCTTCATTCCAATGAGATAATGCCGATACTAGAGTTGTAACCATTGCATTTTTAACTCCAAAAAAGCCACTTTCAGCAGTAGGATTCATGTAAACCCATCTTTCTTAAGCAACTCTATCAAAGGTTTAGCTATTTTGTCATACCACTTTCACAAAATACTTGTAATAACTCGTAAGGCCAAAGAATCCTCTCAACTCGCTTGATTTTTTGGAATAGGCCATCGTTACACCACTTCAATCTTTTTAATGTCGGTTTGAACACCTACTTCGGATATAAAATGCCCTACATATTCTACCTTTGGAGTGCCAAAGATATATTTAGATTTTTAGCAAACGAGGAATTCTCTCTCAACACACTCAATGTTGTTTTCAAATGATAAACATGCTCATACAAAGTTTTACTAAAAATGAGAATATCATAAAAAAAAATACTAGGATTAATTTTCAAAGAAGAGATCAAAAGATATCATTCATCAATGATTGAAATGTACTATAGGCATTGGTTAAACCAAAGAGCATAACCAAATACTCATAATGACCATTGTGTGTTCGAAAAGCTATTTTAGAAATGTGAGGAATAGATATTCGATTTGATGATAGTACGCCCTCAAATCTAATTTCAAAAATACAATTGATCCTTGTAATTCATCTAGAAGCTCTTCAATGATAGGAATAGGGAATTGATCCTTAATAGTCATCTAATTGAGCTTCATATAATTTATACACATTCTCCATACATTGTCTTTCTTCTTTACCAACACTACTAGAGAATAAAATAGACTTATATTAGGCTCTGTAGTCCCATTGTCTAATATTTATTACACATGTTTTTCCATCTCATCTTTTTGAATTGAATGGTACTTAGAAGGTTTTAGTCTTACAAATTCTTATCCTTCCTTCAAATTGATTCTATGATCATGTATTTGTTGAGAGGGTAACCCTTTTCGTTTTTCAAATATATTTGTAAACGGATTCAAGATCTGTCATAATTTCTGCTGGAATTAATTGCCCTAGTTCTACTTCCAGATTTGCCAAATCCATTTCCTCGGATCCCACTACTTGATTTAATTATATCCAATTTAGTTGATGTTGTTTACATATAGCTTTATCCACTTCCTTATCAATCTCATTCTTACTCGGTTCAATGCATTTCTTTTTCAAAGAAAATACTTTGTCATCCTTAATAAATTTCATCCACATCTCCTTACAATTCTAAGTTATATCTCTCATAGCATACAACCATGCTACTCCCAAAATCATGTCACATTCCTAAATGCATCACATAAGAAATATCTTCAAACACCTCTCCCCGCATCTTCTACTTAAAATTATTGCATTTGTATTGACATAAAATATTCTCACCACTCGCCACCTTAATGACTATCGACTTAATTTTCACCATTGCACGTAGATTCTTCTTAGAAAATTCTAAATCCATAAAGTTATGAGTACTACTTGTATCCATGAGTATGCTCATTCTCTTACCCTTCAATTCTCTTACATGAATTGAAATTTGATATAGTTATCTTGTTAGACTATCCTTATTTTTATCACCTTTATACATATCTCCTTCGCTAAGCATCTCATTCTCATAACCCTTAGCTGTACAATCCTCCACTTCTAATATAAACATCGGTTTACCTTTACATTTATGGTCGGTCACATATTTATCATCACGTAAATAGCATAATCCCTTTACCTTCTTTTCATCCAGCTTCATTGTTACTAGGTAGCTTCTTTGTTCTAAAAACAGAGTTACCATTTTGGAACTAAGGAGGTAAAGGCAATATACCTTTTGATTATAAAGATTATAGTATTGTGATTTATTTAAAAAGTTTGATTTAAAGAGTTTGGAGGTCCGTAATTGTTGGTGGTAGGTTTTAGGGTGAACTTAGATGAATTTAGGAATGGTTTCAATTATAAGTAGCTAAAAATTTGATGTTGAGTCTATGGGTTTGATGTTGCGAGGTTGCGGTTAGTTTCTTGAAGCTTGGCTAAAGCCACTTGCTTCTTTAAAACTCTTAGGTCATATAACCTTCATTGGAACTTATAATTCGGGATGCAAACCTCCTATGAAGCGATTGATAATGTAATCTTCGAGTAAATTCAATCTGTTGACAACGGATATGTGTTTCCTAAGGAATGATTATACATCATGAGTCCGCTTAAGCCTCATCAATTCCGCCATAAGATCACTGAAAATCATAACTCCAAAATGTACGGTTATCGCTTCTATATACTATTCCCATTTAATCACGAGTCTTAACACTATTCATTCTTACAAACACATGATGCCACTTCAAAGCTTCTTTTCTAAATGGATAACAACTAAGTGTACCTTTAGCTTCCTCCGATGTTCTATCAACCATAAACAACTTCTCACATCTAAATACATAGCCTTCAAAATCATCACCGAGAAAATCTAAGAAACTCCACCTTAGACATACGAGTATTGTAGGTGTAAATGTAGCTATATTCCCCAATGACTTCTTTAAAATCACTATTCATGATTCCAATAGGATTACTAGGGTATTTATAGCTAGGAATTTGATAGCCTTTGCCATTTAACACACCCAAACCTTTATCCGCATTACCATTTACTCCATCTAGTATTTCTTCGACTACTTGGATTCTTAATTCTATTAATCAACTCCTTCGATGCACCAATTTCTTGATCATGTTGTATGAACAAAGAATCACATTACCGAGTAAGATCATTAATTACCTTGGTGAGATTGTTAATTAACTCTTTCATTTTTTCAATTCGGATCCTGTTTTCGTCATGATTGATCAACTTGTTTTGTTTTCTATAGAAGCAAAAATCTTCTTTAATACCAATTGATGTAACTCACAATTCAAATCAAAGAAAAACTACTAAAGATTTGTAAGAACAACTTATGAAACCTTAATCTTTATTGAAATCAATTGAAACAATGAATTTACAAGATGTTATGAATGAAATCAATACAACAAAATATTTGTAATGCAAAGAAAATAAATATAGAAGAAGGAAGAATAAAGAAACTTAGAGGAAGAAAAAACGGGGTTGAGAAGGGAGAAAATCCGTTTTGCTTAAGCGATTTCCATTTATCTCTACACTCCACTTTATTGCTAACTACCCAACTAATAACTAACTAATTACTAATACCTTAACAACTCAGCCACTTGCCAACTTACTGCTATTTGTTAGCCTTGTCAACTATTAATGTCTAACTCGACTCATGTTCATCATCTTCATTAAAAAGATTGCATCACATATATAAATCCTTAAACTAAACTAAAGAGATGTTTGTTTTATGTGCATGCCGGTCAAGAAGTGTAGATAAAAACGTAAAGGCAATATTGGTGGAAATTAAAATGAAGCCTTACCCTTGATAAAGGATAATTGACCAAGATCAACTTGATTAAATTCCTTGAGATGAACATCGACCCTCAACGGTGACATATTAGGCATAACATAAAGAAACAATGCAACAAAGACCAAGAACTAATATATAACAAGCCCTTCACAACACGGAAAGGACTCTTGCAAATGGAAAAAATAATCCAAGAAAGTTGAGAGAAGAATGGCGAGAGAGTGCAATGACCTTTCTACTTGACAAGCTTGTAACTCTTCTAGAAAATGAGCTACGAGTTGTTGAGAGGAGGTGGGAAGAAATTGTTTATGTTAAAGGAGAGTTAGAGCGAATAAGAGACTTCCTACGTGTTACGGATACTTTGGCAAAGAGTGATGAGGAAGTCGAGGTGTGGGTTAAGCAAATAAGGGATGTTGCTCATGAAACTAAAGATGTTCTGGATGAGTTCACAATTCTCTTGTCATATGATCATGGAAGCGGACTTTATGGTTTGATCCACAAGATGTCATGCTACATCAAAAACATGAAGGCCCGCTATCGAATTACCTTATAAATAAAAGCCATCAACTCAAGAATCAAAAATATTTCTCATGGCCATCGTAGACTCCGTCAAAAGTTTATGTAATTGAACAAGGTTCAAATTCCACTAGTGTAGGCTAGCAAGATCGGAGAGAAGATGCCGTTCTTCTAGATATGATCGATTTAGTTAGAATCGAGGAGCACAAAAGCAAGCTTGTTGGTTGGCTTATCAATGGTGATTCTAGACATGAAGTAGTTTTGCTTGCTAGGATGGGAGGCTTAGGAAAAACCACTTTGGAAAAGCAAGTCTATGATGACGCTTAAGTGAAGAAACATTTTAATGTTCATGCCTAGATTACATTATCTCGATCTTATAAGATGGAAGAACTCCTTAAAGACATTGTTCAGCAACTATTTGCTCCGGAGAGGAAACTAGTCCCTAAAATTTTAAAGAACCAAAACAGCGAGTTAGTTAAAATCAATAATCAAAGAGGTAATGTAGAGAAAAACATACCTAATAGTCTCGGATGATTTTGGAATATAAATGAGTGGGATTCTATCAAATATGCCTTGCTAATCAATAATTACGGCGGTCGGCTCATGCTCACTACACATAATGCTGACCTCGCCTTTACCTCTCACATAAAATCAAAAGGCAAGGTCTATAACTTAGAGCCCTTACCTCCGGAAAAGTCATGGACTCTTTTACGTAGGAAAACATTCTGGAGGAATTCATTTCCTCATCATTTAAAGGATATTTGTAAAAATATCTTGAGAAAATGTTAGGGACTTCCCTTTGTAATTATGGCAATCAATGTTATTCTTGTTACCAAGGACAAGCAAAGGATAGATAAATGGGAAAGGGTTCACCGTAGTCTTGATGTTGAAATTGAGGACAAGGATAAGCTTTTTCATTTGAACAAAGTGCTTTCTCTCGGTTTCAATGATCTACCGTACTACCTAAAGTCTTATTTCTTGTAAGTGAGCATCTTTCTAGAAGATCATCTAATTGAATGTATGAAACTTATTCCTTTATGGGTTGCAAAAGGATTTATGGAAGCAAAATATAGAAAAGAGTTAAAAGACGTCATAGAGGATTCGTTTCAATAAGCTCCTAAATAGAAGTTTGTTGCAAGTGGCGGAGACGGCGAGTGATAGAAAGGTCAAAACATGTCGCCCCTATAACCTTCTGCGAGAGATTATCATTTCAAAATCAAGAGACCGAATTTTACGAGTTATAGCTAAATAGTAAAATGCAACATGGCTAGAAAAAATTGAACGTCTATCAATACATAACATAGTGCAAAGCGAACAACGGAACAAGTACGCCTCTTAGTTACGTTCTTTGTTCATGTTTGGGGTGGTAGAGAAGTCATCGCTGCAAACCTTGTTTCCTAATGGTTTTAGGCTACTTAATATGCTAGATTTGCAAGGTGCTCCTCTAAAAATATTTCCAATTCAAGTTATTAACCTGCATTACTTAAGGTATTTAAATTTGAAGGAAACTAAGTCGAGGAGTATGCCATCCTATATAGGGAAACTTCAACACCTAAAGACCTTGGATCTCATACATACCTATGTCACCTGAATTGCTTAAAAAGATTTTGAAGTTCCAACGACTTCGTCATCTCCTAGTTTATCACTATGAATTTGAATCTTATGCACACTTCCACTCACGGAATGGTTTTAAGGCTCTTTAGAAAATAAGAGAATTACAATTCTTGTAAAACAATATGTGTTATTCGAGCAAACCATAGCAATGGTAATATAATGCTTGAACTTAAAAGATAACACAACTAAGAGGGTTAGGTGTTGTAAAGTTGAGAAAGGAAGATGGGAAGTCTTTGTGTTCATCTATTGAAAATCTTAAAAACCTTTATGCCTTATTTTTACTTTCGGTAGAAGAAAATGAGATTCTTGATCTTCGACACCTTTTCTCTCCTCCTCTGCTGCTTCAACTGTCGTATTTGACAAGACGCTTAGAGACTCGTCACACTAAATACCTAATCTAGAAAGCCTAGTTAGAGTTCATTTGAAATGAATCCGCTTAAAGAGGAATCCCTTGAAGTCTCTTCGGGTTCTCCCAATCTTGTGCATCTTGAATTACTCTAAGTTTATGAAGGAGATACCTTGTGTTTTGAGGTGGTAAGGTTTAAGAAGCTTAAGCTTTTAGGTATTGATAAATTTGATGAGTTAAGATGTGAGGAAGTGAAGGTGGGTGAGTTATCTTGCTTGGAAAAGTTGAGCATTCAACACCGTAAATTGCTAGAGAAGGCACCATTAAGCATCGAGCATTTGAAAAAGCTGAAAATGCTATAATTTTTTTATAAGCCTTAGGAACTAATCAAGACGCTTCTCTCAAATAAACAAAAGAGAGATTATTAGAGAGTCACACATCTAAGAAGTGAACTCAACCTACTTGGAGAGATAGGGGATGGGAGGTCTATTCTGCAGAGAGTTTCAATGACTCTTCCTCGCCAAGCCTCATCATAATGAGCCGGGAGCTTCATACTCATTGGAAATGATATTTATACTACAAGTTGATTTTTATTAACCGTAGTTGAAAATTATAAGGATTTGTAAATATCGTTACTTGTTTTCTATAGATCATTGTATAGCTTCATTGCAAAATATCAAGAACCACTCAATGGTTTAGGTAATGATGTATATAATGTATGGGTTGGGTGCTTATTTAAAGCCTGTGTCTACGAAATATTCATTAAAGGATAGTCTTTACGTAGAGACTCTATATATGATATGTATGTATGTATGTATGTATGTATGTATATATCTATATGTGTGCGTGCACACGTGCGTGTACGTGTACATGTGTTGCTTGTTACCTATTTTATTTATTATGTATACCCCTTTCATCCTATCAACCTTTTTGAAATAATTTTCATTGCGATGTATCCAATGCGAAAGGAGAGCAATTTCTTTAATCCCATGTTTGGCGCTTTTTAACCTTTTCGACCTAAGATGTCATCAAGTTCACTATGATGGCTAGAACTAGGTCTCTACTCCGATCCACCCTCTAAAGAGATGGGAGTAACATAAGCCAAATGAAGGATCATTCATCCTATGGAGGTGCGGAATAAATAAAAATTTTCCTCCATCTAAGGGCCTAAGATCATGCCATTGAATCTACTAATCATACATACATAAATAATAAGATTAAAGTAAAGGATTACCTCTTGTAGTACGGATCTAAATTTCTTTTCTTTGATTAGCCATCCAAGTGTCCGGCCTCTATTAATGATCCATGCGGCCTAAATATCCATAAAGAAGCACTCAAAATTGATGGGGTGCTAGCTTCACCTTTTCCGATTAAGTATTTCCTCTAGAAATCAATCCCATGTAACTTTGCGACAACCTTAAAGGAAAAGGTAAGAGTATTTCTTGCTAGGTTTTTTAGAGAAAACTATTTTCTCTTTTTTTCTCTCTTGGCCGTGTATCCTAGGTTATTTTAGGGGCTGGCCGAATTTTTCCTTTTTTTCTCTTTGGCTAAAATTCTCTATTAGCATCTCTTTCCTTTTTTGCCACCCATCTCCCCCTATTTATATGGGAAGAGTTTCCTTATCCTCTAAGGACAAGGAAAGTAGTGGCACTTGAGTCTATAAAGGACTCTAAATTGTTGCTTCCTTATCCTCGAAGGATGAGGAGTTATTTTATATGTGGATCTGCTTGATTATTATCTTTAAAACATTCAATTTCTATTCTTGACAACGCTATGACTTAGAATATTTAATGATATCATTTATGTGCATTAGTGTTTTTCTCACATCGTTCGATCAATCACTATTGCAAATACATATCATAAGAACTTCTATCTAATTCTACTGAATTTATCAACATGTAAACATAGGAATTAATAGAATTACTTCTTTATTATTATTAAAATAAATACTGTAATGACATATTAACATATGCCCATCCAAATATGTTTAGATCTTGGGCACCAACACTAACAATCTCCCACTTGAACTAGAGCCAACCGGTAATGTCCCTTAATCTTGATGATCGAGTAAGGGATCGATGTTTTAGCTGTGATAAAGGCTTAGCCTAAGTTAGTAATGTTATCGTAGTATGATTCTTTTCTATCCTTATGTTACCATGACTCTTTTATCTCTATAAACAAGTGATAACATTGTAGTACTTGTTTGGACCGTTGATGAGATCTTGGTTCCTTAGCTTGTCTTATGGATCCTTTTTGTTGGTCATCAAGCTATATGACATTAGAAAAAAAACCTTCTTTGATTGTTACGTACTAAAGATTTTAGTATCATGTCATTGTAACTACCTTTGGGAGACTTCTAACATTCTAAGTGATCTATCTCTATAGATCTAAACTTTTAGATTGTAGGTTCCTCTTACGTGTCATCCTAATGAAATTTCTTCTAGATTCCTTAGTCTCTTGTTGCAACATGATGTTATGGTCGAGGTGTCATTTTGTATCGAACAATCATGACTAGTAGACTCCCACTAACTTCTTATATACACAAGGTTTGTCTTTATTTTTGATGAATAATCAAACTCTTTGATTATTTCATAAAACGTTGACTTTCATTCCTACGGGCATGCTTAAGTCTATTAATGGACCTCGGCATTTCACAAATCTCGTTTGTATGTCCTTGGGAACAATTAGGGTGTGTCAACTACACATCCCTTTTATTTGCCTTTTATAGGAATCAATGTCTTACATTGCCATTTCATAAGTATTAGCTTCATCATCCCTTTCAAGGCTCATATCACCATGTGTCAAGACGTGAAGATCATATCCTTTTATCTTGTGATGAATTTCTTTTACACTCATGAAATTCTTGTGTTTTGTTTGTGAGAGTGTTACAACTATTTGTAATTATTCTACTTTAGGATTCTTTTTATTAAAGTGCTAATTTATGAGTCTCCTCAAAACTTATTGAGTTCAAATTTTCTCTCACTGTTTCTAACATCCATAAATTCCTTCCCAAGAAAAATAGTGTGCTTAGTAAGGAAAAATACTTTGTTCTAGTGGTTGGATATTTACATCCTCATATCACTTTAGGGTGTCTCACAATCTAACACATCGTTGATTTTAGGCTTCATTTTATCATTGTCAAACACTTTGACGTACACTTTATAGCCTTAAATCTTTAAGGAAATATTAATTCATTTTTCTTTTCCTTCCCATATCTCATATGTGATCTATAGCAATAGATTGGAATCCTATTCATTTCAAAGTTCACAATAAGGAATATTCATTCATAATTAGGAATATTAATTCGACTCATCATGGACTAATCATGTCTAACATGTAATGTTCATAGAGAATCTCATTCTTTTTTAGGTGATCTAATATTTTAGCATTTAAGTATTCGGTCCCTTGATCTAATCGAAAAGCTTTAAAACTCTTACTAATTCATCTCATGACTTTTCAAGTCCAAACTTTTAAACATTTTAAATGTTTTGGACTTGTGTCTTATAACCATAATATGATCCATTATCATTAATGGTTATGTGACATGCATGTTCTCCTCATGCTTGGGTGAACATAGGCCCATATACATCTCTATGTATGAGGACTTGTATTTATTAGTAACTCTTTCTCCTTTCCAACTAAAAGGGGATACATGTCCTTATGTCAAGTAAGCAAGATTCCTTAGACATCATCTAATAATTCTAAATATCATTTTATATAAGTAGGATGGATATAGGATTCTTGCTTATGTGACTAAGTTTGATATTGCTTACTAATTAATATTTATTTAGATCATTTGAGTCTTATAGTATTTATGTTGTACATTTAGGAGTTATGTTTAATGCATATAATCATTATCAAAATATTTTCATAATAACTCATTCTTAAAAATAACTATTATTCTTAAAAATGAAATACTTATTCAAAATAAGAAATGAAAATAACATCTTTAGTCTATACTAAAATAATAATGATTGAGTCGTATCATTTCCCAACATGGTAGTGATGACTCATAAATATCCATATCTAATGGTCTAACTCTTTGATCCATTGTGGTTATCTAGATATTCTCCTTTGAAGCTATCTTCCTTCCTTTTCTAAGCTCCTGTATATTTCAAAAATGTAAGCATCACATTTAGTATCATATACTCATGAGGTGGAATTTAGGAATAAGAAAGATTAACATTAATAACGTAAATACACGAGGTGATAGTAGAACTCTTCTTTTGCACCCCTTCTAGGTACTCTTGCAGTTGCGCTTCCAATGCACCTTCTTGTTGCAATGAAAACAAATTGCATACTTTGCGCTATTTTAAGCCTCGACTTTTTCACTCCTCCGGTAGGTGTAGTTGAAGACTTCTTCTTCCTTTTGGGCTTTTTCTTGCCTTTGACTACACCTTTTCCCTTATTAACTAAAAGTATAGAGCTTTTGTTCTTCTTGTTAATTTCAGCTCGAGCTTCTCTTAGTATGGACAATAACTCTCCAACGATCTTTTACATGTGCATCATGTTGAAGTTCATGATGAAATGTCCATAGCTATTGGGCAATGATTGCAATACTAGGTCAATGGATAATTCAGCATCCATTCCAACTTCAAGTTCGATCGGTCGATCAATATAGCCTATCATTTATGTGACATGCTTTTCGACATTGGATCCCTCATCCATTCCGTCCCTAAAAATCTTCCTTGCTATCTCATAGCGCTCATGCCTAGTATCTCCTTAAATAAGCTCTTGAGCCTTACTATGATATCAAAAGCTTGTGAGCTTTTGTGTTGACGTCTATACTCCAATGTCATAGCAAGCAAGCATAATGCTCTAAGCGGTGATCGCATCATTTCTATGTTTGATTCATGCTTCATGAGCTTCGACTTGAACCGGAGGAGGCTCATCCGGAAGAGCTTTCTCTATCGTGTAGAGAATTTTCTCATGTTGAAGGACTATCCTTAAATTCATTTCCCATTTGAGGAAGTTTATGCCATTAAAGGCATTACTTCCATCAATGATCGATCGTATCGATATGTTGTCGATCATACTTGTGCAATCCGATAGAATAGAAAAGCATACGATTTGGTTAATTAAATTATATAAAACTAAACAAAGCATAAATTAAAGAAGTAAAATCTATGTTTGCTCTCACTATTTTCTTCAAGTTTTATAACCTTAAATATAGAACTCGAGAAAACTTTTCGATTCGTTTTCTTAGTGGGTTAGGATCCCATCCTCTATCATGTATTAGCCTTGAGTTATCTCAACAAGCTATACATGCGGGACTAGGTAGGTAGCTCCTTACCAATTGCATCTAATGTAATTCCTAATTCCATCGGTATGATAACTCCTTGTCCTTGTAACATCTTATGTG